AGTTATAACCTTATTATCTGTAACTATTACCCCTCTTACCTGTAAGTTCTACCCTGCTTACCTGAAAGTTATACCTCTCTTACCTGTAAGTTATACCCCTCTTACCTGTAAATTCGACCCCTCTTACCGGCAAGTGCGACCCCACTTACCTGTAAGTTATACCCCTCTTACCTGTAAGTGTTAACCCTTCCTACCTCTAAGTTATACCCCTCTTACCTGTAAATGTTACCCTTTTTACCTGAAAGTTATATCCCCTCTTACCTGAAAGTTTTACCCCTCTTACCTTACGTTGTACCCCTCTTACCTGTAAGTGCTACCCCATTTTATCTGTAACTGTTACTTTCTTACCTGTAGGTGTTACACCTCTTACCTGTTAATGCTACCACTCTTACCTGTAACTGTTACCCTCTTACATGTAAGTGATATCCCTCTGATATGTGAGTGTTAATCGTTGTACAGAAAGTGCTACCTTATACGTAGTTATTGTACACATACCAGTTATTGTACCACAGTTATTGTACCACCGCCATACCTTCTAAATGGACACATTACAAACTATGGCTGTTCCTACAATATTAATAACGCATATAGACATACCAGGGTCAAGCCTTCAAAATGAATAAGAACATTCATAAGGACCACACCTACTAAATGTAACGGTACGTTCAACAGGACCATACCTACTAAATGTTATGGTACGTTCAACAGGACCATACCTACTAAATGTAATGGTACGTGCTACAGGATCATACCTACTAAACGTAATGGTACGTTCAACAGGACCATACCTACTAAATGTAATGGCACGTTCAACAGGACCATACCTACTGAATGTAATGGTACGTTCAACATGACGATACCTACTAAATGTAATGGTACGTTTAACAGGACCATACCTACTAAATGTAACGGTACGTTCAACAGGACCATACTAAATGTAATGGCACGTTCAACAGGACCATACCTACTGAATGTAATAGTACGTTCAACATGACCATACCTACTAAACGTAATGGTACGTTCAACAGGACCATACCTACTAAACGTAATGGTACGTTGAACAGGATCATACTAAATGTAATGGTACGTTTAACAGGACCATACCTACTAAACGTAATGGTACGTTGAACAGGACCATACCTACTAAATGTTATGGTACGTTCAACAGGACCATACTAAATGTAATGTCACGTTCAACAGGACCATACCTCCTAAATGTAATGGCACGTTCAACAGGACCATACCTACTAAATGTAATGGTACGTTAAACAGGATCATACCTACTAAATGTAATGGTACGTTAAACAGGATCATACTAAATGTAATGGTACGTTCAACAGGATCATACCTACTGAATGTAATGGTACGTTCAACAGGTCGATGCCTACTTAATGTAATGTTACGTTCAACAGGATCATACCTACTAACTGTAATGTTACGTTAAGCAGGATCATACCCATTGAATGTAATGGTTTGTTCAACAGGACCATACCTATTAAATATAATGGTACGTTCAACAGGACCATACCTACTTAATGTAATGTTAGGATCAACAGAATCATACCTACTAAATGTAATGGTACGTTCAACAGGACCATACCTACTAAATGTATATGGTACGTTCAACAGGATCATACCTACTAAATGTAATGGTACTTTCAACAGGATAATACCTACTAAATGTAATGGTACGTTCAACAGGACCATACCTACTGAATGTAATGGTACGTTCAACAGGATCATACCTACTTAATGTAATTTCACGTTCAACAGGATCATACATACTAAATGTAATGGTACGTTCAACAGGACCATACCTACTAAATGTAATGGTACGTTCAACAGGATCATAAATACTAAATGTAATGGTACGTTTAACAGGACCATACCTACTAAATATAATGGTACGTTTAACAGGACCATACCTAGTAAATGTAATGGTACTTTCCACAGGATCATACCTTCGTAATGTAATGGTACGTGCTACAGGATCATACCTACTAAATGTAATGGTACGTTTACTGATGTTATTAAGACCACACCTACGTTGTTACTTTCTGAACACGAATTTTCACTAAAATGATTTAAGAATACATGTTTCACACATAATTATAAACTCAATTATGTAAAAATTTAATCTGAAAGAATTAATGACAGCTTTGTTCTCATTTCTATCTAAATTGAATTATGAAGCCATCTCACTCCTCTCTAATAAAGGGAGGTCATTCACCCCTATACCGGGCATCATATACACATGATGAGTCAGTCTAAATAAAGGAGTGTCAAACCAGGAAAATAAAGTTATCTCCCTATCAAGTGTCAGGACGAAATTGTACTTTGTATCTATAATTAAGGATAAGAAATAGGGTGTTTTCCCTATTTGTATTAAGAAAACAATGACAAACTTATATTAATAAAAATCAGTGCGACCAGCTCATCCAGGGAGGGACCTACTACATTATCTGATTCATCCGGACTGAGCCTAGCTCACGGACACGCCTTTATCATATTGATTTCAGATCGATAAACTTTCTATCCGATTGTACGGGTTCATTTAATAAAAGCAATCCTCTCTTCACATGCAAGGTATTAACGAAGTATAGTTATGGAGTATCAGAAGTCACGTGATCAATACTTCCGGCCATGTGTTTGTCACACACATGGCCAGGTAGACAAGTATAGAAAGGTCAGCTAGAGGTTAGGGTGAACATACCCAAATCTGAACGGTACCCAATGTGGAACCTTTTTCACAAGCATGATCCAGGAGAATGATTTTGCAATACAAATGAAAGATATGTATTCGATATAAAAACTGATATAATCTCAAGTAATAAAAACAATTTTATCTGCCTACTTCTATTGTGGTAGTCATAATCTAAATTAAAATAGAATCATAAGGAATAAAATAAAGTAAATAAATATGTATATTGTGCATATAAAATATACAAACACAATTATCGGAGAATGTTACGGTACGACAATATAAACATCATATCACGTATTGGTATGAATACATAATTTGTAGTTAAATTTCACATAATTGTACATGCTTTTGTGTTTATGTATATAGGTCTAAATTGCTAGGTACATTAGTATATGTACTCTTTTTTATTTCCCCAGACATTCCTTCTTAAACTAATCCAAATTACACATGAAAAACAACATCATTCAAAGTACATGAATTCGGTTTTATCTAAATTTTAGGACAATATGGCAATCCCAAATCAATAAAGCAGAATTTTTGGCATGTAAATGAATGTATAAATATAAAAATATTTGAATATATAAAGAAGGAATAGTTGATGTAATTCAATATATCAATTTGATCAAAATAAATATTATCGTTATTGGAATAAATGAAATATACATATGAAAGAATGAATGATTTTGAATTTGAGTATGAAAGAACGAATGAAAAAGAAAGAGAGAATGAAGAGAAAGAGGCCTTTTGCATGAGGCTATATTATGTAAGAGGGATGTTCCCGGGGCACCCCAACCCTGGCATCCCTCCCAAAGATGCTGAGGGAATAAAACAATTTGAACCTAAAAAAAAAATAAAAAAAAATATCACGTCTCAATAAACGGAAACAATATTTCATTGAATAAATGCCTGGCATTTATCAGAAAATTTCAAAACTTACATTAAATTAAAAGAATATCGTAAATGCAGTCAGCTAAATGTGATAAAAAAGCCTTTATACGCCACAGTGTGTAAACACTTAATGTACTGTTTATTTGTGATCACTCTTACTTATGTCATAAAGATGATCATCAAATGAAGTTTGAACTTTAAATCGACAAAGTCACGAACTGATTAGCTGACATCGACTAAAACATGTATACCATATGAATTTCCTCGAACAACTGTCGGAATTTTGTAATAGTAATTATTAATGGGTTTTTTGCGTTGATTGGACATTTATTAAATTGATACCAAAGCGCTTACGCATTAATTAACATAATTAATTGCAGTATCGACCGGATGTGTCATATTCTGTAATGCAGGTTGAATGACATGCCGGTAAAAACCGGAAAAAGCACTTCAAACGTTACAAGATGGCGAAGCATTGACTCAGGTTCTTGATATGTCTTCTCTGTATTTTACTTTTTGATATCTTCATCAATCTATTGATTGTCATTTTTTTTTGTATAGAGGTGAATCCTGTGCACTTCAAATATTAACATTACATTTGCATGCCCCTATTGAACTTAAACATGTCATTTGTAGTGTATTGGTAAATTCCCAAAGACAGAAATATTTGTGCTATAATAAGCCTTAGCAAAATCTACATTTTATTGCACGAGTGGCTAATTGTTTGTCTGGGAATAAATAGACCATTTGAAGCATGGAACCATCAAAATTAGTTTGAACTTGATTTTGACAAACACCTGCAATATATAGCATGACAAATCCTCTTTTGATGTCATTGTTCTTACGTACTTCATAAAAAGATGCCATTCCACTCAGTAAGGTAAACCGATGAAAATAAAACAAAACCAACGTTATAAAGATAATTTATTAAGGAAAAGTAAGCCTCGTGAATATATTGAAAGAATAATGTGTGGATTGTGAACTCACTACATCATATTACATCTCTTAATGGACAGAAATACTTTTAAATATATAGAACTATTTACAGCATATTTCAAACCTAAGAATGGTGTTGTATTGAGATTAATATAACACTGATACACTTATATGATGATGGGCACATTCAAAACGCTTACAACGAACAGAAACGATACGATCAGGAGTTAAACAAGCTTCGGTTCGTTTTACAATAGTTCATCATTGTTTCGGAGGAGACACTGTGTCATCTATGGAGGATCCCCGTACCCCTGCTAAAACGGTAATTATGCATTGGAAATAGTTTCCCCATCATAGCTATTCCGTCTTTGCGTATTTCAGAGTTATCTTGTGAGCAGGTATTAATTGTTACGTCATTGGTTTGTGTGAGAAAACTACATCGTTTTCTCAAACATTGATGACGCTACTCTCACAAACCAATGACGTAATAATCAATACCTGCTCCCAAGATAAGATAACTCTGCAATACGCAAAGACGGAATAAATTAGTCAATCATTTCCGAATAATGGAATCATACCGTGCGGGACATCTGTAAACAGATATTACAGGTGAAATAATGACAATATAATCAGCAACAGTATTCTGAGTGACAAGTTCAGCTGTGATAGACCGGGATTCGAACAGCTGACATCAGATTGCTACCCTGTCGCCCTGAACGACTGAGCTAGCTGGTGAATAGAAGTGAAACAAATTTAAGGGAAGGTTACTGTATATATACGAAAAACTAGACTGCAGTGAGACAGAGATACTGAAGACACCCACTACAACAATCCGGGTATTCTATTACAGTTCTATGTGTTGTTGAATACTCTATATATAGGTTGATTTTAATTCCGTTACTATAAAACTGGTGTACGTTAACAGTAATTGATGATGTTTTTCCCCCTGCTGTTTTAAATCGTTCCGTATCATTCAGAACGAGTGTAGCAGGAGTTAAAGATATAAAAGCCACACAACTGGAATTGGCAACCTTTCTATTTACCGATCCAAGAGTTTTCATTGATTGATTACGTCATAAGCACGCGTATGTGATCACCTCAAATAAAATGAGTCTAAGTTTATATCAAACCTGTGTATCATCCTCTTGGGGCTCAAATGCCGGGTTGTCCTTACCATCCGTGGTTACCTCCCCTTCATCGACCGGTTTCTCAGTCTCGCACTCCGTTCCGAGAGCATCAATCAAGGCGCCTGCAGCTGCCACAAGGTCAAGGTTACCGTCGTTCACTGTGAATACGCCTTCTTCAGGTTGTTGCATTGTCTCTGTGGAAGGACCGTCCTCAGTCATTTGAACATTGCCATTTTGAGGAAGAGCGTTAGGCTTGTCACCACTCTTCTTGGTTGCCATGCCTACAATCACGCCAACAAGCTGTCGAACCATTTCTGCCGAATCAATCCATTGCTCTTTAGCTGTTTTCATTTCGAAGCATTCGCTGATATTTGTCTGAACACTAGCCATGCTTGCGTCACTAAAAGTGTGCGTTAGCTGTCGATGCATCACTGGCTTCTGTGGTACAGGTGCTTTGTTGACCTTTTTAGGTTTCTCTGACGGCGCACAACATGATAAGAGGCATGGTGCCTTCTTCATTAGCGCTTCACGAAACTTTGGATGGCTGAGTGCATACACTATAGGGTTGTGCATGGCAGACGCCTTGGCCAACATAACAGGTAACTCCGACATGAAGGGGGTAACAAAAGACGGGTCTCCGAATTGAGCCATCAAGGCTATAGTAGCATACGGACTCCACGACAAAATGAAAAGCGATATAAGCATCATCGCAATTTTTGCTATTTTTATTTCTGTTTTAGATTTTTCTTTCTTATCTGCTTCTTCAGCGTTCATTTTGTCAGCCATGCTGGCCATTTCTTTGGCATGTTTTCTGATGGCTTTCAAAATCGCAATATAACAACCGATGATGATTACCAGAGGTAATGCAAACGCGAATAGATACATTCCGATGATGTAAATTCTATTCAATGTAGTTTTGGTTAGATAGTCAAACGTACAGGAAGTTTGAAAACCTTCGGGAATGTATGCCCCTAAACCAAACAGTGGAAGAAGGGACCATCCGACTGCCCAAGACCATACAATCACTATCATGAAGAAGGCTTTCTTGCGAGTCATCAGCCTGGCGGCTTGAAGGGGTTTGGTGATACAAATGTATCGGTCTATAGAAATCATAGCCAGAGTGTTGATAGACATGAGACCGAAGATCCCACCAATAAGACCATAAAACTCGCACGCTGCGTCACCAAAAACCCACCGCTTATTGAAGGCCGAGATAGTTAATAACGGAAACCCATTAACAGCCGAGAAGGTGAGATCACTAAGAGCAAGGTTCGTTATCAGCATATTTGACGGCGATTTCAGGGTCTTTGTGGAACTGAACATCCATATCACAACAATATTTCCGACGACACCGCTGATGCCGACTACGGTGATAAAGAGTCCGATGAAGTAGTGCCAGTTATCTGATACAGGTGGGTACTGTCTCCAGTGGGGGTGGATATAGTAGTCGTATGTATCAAAGGGGTGTGAAGCGGAGGTGTTGATGGTAGTCACCTCCTCCACAACCGACAATATAGCAGTTCCCGCTTCCCTCGACATCACACTCTACAGCACTTTAAAATTCTTCCGGAATTAGATTTTAACTTCAATCCTTCAAATTAAATGGAGTCAAATCTCCGGATATGTCACTTTCGTCTGGTTTAACTCCAGGACAATGGTATACAGTAATGTTTTGTTTTTAAAGTGCTCTCCGCGAGCCTTGTTCACGTAATTCTTTGTATTGAGATGTTTCAGGACTTCCCATCGGTTATTCTTAAAATGTTCGCAATATATTTAAATATACATTTTCTGAAGATCTCTGAAATATATATTACAACACTCTTTGATGTCTATGAAATGAAAAGCGACCGTCTATGAGCAAGGTCGCCTTCAGTGATAATGAGAGAATGATCTGCCAAATGTTTATATTCTGTGGCAGATTAATTAGTGGGAAATATGAATTCGTGTCATAATTAATTCGTATTGATTCCGTGTCGTCCGTAGGTGTCAGACAAGCCGATATTGTTGTAAGCCTCACATGCAATGACGCAATATTTCATTGAGATTATAAATCCATAGTGTATACGAGTATTTTAGTTACGTGCAATAAGCCGCATTTAAAAAATTAGAAGATAAAAAAGCTGCTTTCTGAAAAGAGAAGTCACAGTGAGTTTTTAATTCCGATTAATAGTATTACGCTACGTGGATATAGAATCTTGATGCAAGTAGGGTTCATTTACTCAGAATTAACGTGGGCGTGTTCTTATTACGATAGTCTAATGCCGATACTAACACGAATATCGCTAATAAGTAGATTTTACCTATCTCCAGTATTCTGTTTGGGGTACTGGTGACCAATAAGCAGGAAATAAATACGCGTCGTTGATTGCAATAGTGGTTAATTCATTGTTATATGTTATATTTTTACGTCTTATAAAACTACACAGTTATTTGATGCATTCGTTTTACAGGTGATTCAATGTTGTTTTGCCGTAGATCAGCATCAAATACTACCTACAGTGGATAAAAGTCAAAGGTATATATCTTGATAAATGAACACGTAATCCATGTTTATGGGCAGAGCGTACCTTATTGGCAATACCTGATAGGAAAAAAAGCCATTAATTTGTTATCACAATGATCAGCAGGGAGCTGGCCGTCTTGATGTGATCCTCTTACGTCTGAGCACGCGAAGTCTAGGTATAAATGGAGACATCTCCTTACCATTACCATCGCCACCACCATATCAAACCAATCTCTGCGGGTCTAGTGAGAATACATCTTCACCAATGTCATGGACGTCGCTAGTTCTCTTTTTTTTGAATTCAAATCAGCCAATAAGGATTTCATGACATTTAGCCTTTATTCATATTAACGCGTCAGTTTATTGAAGACGTTGATATTATGGACAGAAATTCAAGACTGTGCATTCCTCTCTTTTGGATTCAAAGTTTTGTTTTGTCCCAAAGACATTATTTCGTCTTTTTTTTTAATTGAATAGTATGCTGAAGGATTTCTTAGAGTTATGAAGCGCATGGTGTTTCCAGGCCCATTGTAATCAATCACGACCGACTTTGACATCCTGTCGTTAACTAACTGATAAAACGACAATTCACGTACGTACTGCATCTTCTGTCTCCACCGTGACATCAGCGTGGTTAAAACGACCTATCATTGCAATATAAACATTTATCCGTGAATTGATACTCAATGATAACAATGTCTCCGGAGCACGTGACCGAGAGAGTGACAAACACTACACACCTTTATGATACGTACGACTTTTTCATTCATCCACATTGGAAACAATTCCCTCCCGTGTCTGATTTTTGGTTTTATTTCGTTGGCATATATATCGGCATCGTTGGAATCACCGGCGTCGTCGGTAACATTCTTGTTATATGGATGTTCACCACAAACAAGAAGTTGAAAACGCCATCAAATATGTTGATAGTAAACCTGGCACTGAGTGATCTGACGTTTTCTGCCGTCAATGGTTTTCCTCTCAAATCTATCTCTGCCTTTAGTAAAAAATGGGTGTTTGGAATGGTTGCCTGTGAACTGTACGGCCTCATAGGTGGAATATTCGGTTTCATGTCCATCAGCACGTTGGCAGCAATTTCAATCGACCGCTTCATCTGCATAACAAAACCCCTACAGGCCGCAAGGATCATGACGCGGAAAAAGGCCTTTATTATGATTGTGGTGGTTTGGACCTGGTCAGTGTTTTGGTCTATTCCCCCTCTATTTGGATTCGGGGCGTACATCCCAGAGGGATTTCAAACGTCGTGTACTTTCGATTACATTACCAAAAGCACCAGCAACCGAATATTTATCATCGGAATGTACGTGTTTGGGTTTTTGATGCCTTGTTTAATTATCATCGGCTGTTACATCCAGATACTGAAGGCCATTAAGGCACACGGGAAAGAAATGACACGTATGGCTGACAAACTAAACGCCGAAGAAGCAGATAAGAGCAAAAAAGCTAAAGCTGAGATGAAAATCGCTAAAATAGCATTGATGTTGATATCACTCTTCATTCTTTCATGGAGTCCGTATGCTACCATTGCATTAATAGCACAGTTTGGATCGCCAGATTTTGTTACACCTCTCATGAGTGAATTGCCTGTTCTTTTGGCTAAAACGTCTGCTATGCACAACCCTCTAGTATATGCACTCAGTCATCCCCGCTTCCGTGCTGCGCTAGCAGAAAAAGCCCCATGCTTTATGGTTTGTTGTCCCCCCGAGAAGACGCCAACCTCAACTTTAAGTCGACATGTGGCTGGTCGCACAGCCAGCCAAAGCAGTGTGACCAGTTGTGCAACTAATATGAGCGATTGTCAAGGAGGCATACAAATGCAACCAACGCCGACAACGGTCAATCATGGCGACCTTGTTAAGGATCTGGTCGGCGCCCTGGTCAACATGGCGACACAGAATGCAAATCATGTCGTACAGCCTGTCTATCTCCCTAACGGTGTGTTACATAGCAACGGAACCGGAATCATCACCGTTCCTCAGGTAAACGTTATTTCAGGTCAAGGTCACCAGAACGCTGCATTTGTTCCTGAAGTAGAGACTGTAGACACAGGAAAGGTAAACACAGATAAAGAGAAAGAGAATGATAATGTTACTTCCAAGGACGCTGTTAAGGTATGAGGACAGATAATTACTGTTAATTAAAAAGAGACATTGACTTGCAAAAGGCATATTTTCTGACTTGAATCAGGGCTTGTTTTAGGAGACACCATTTTCTATTGATGGGCTTAAATAATGTTTTCATGTTCGCTATGCGATATACATATATAAGCAATAGACAGAAGCTTTTAAAAATGTTTTTAAATACATTTTTTTAACAATAATTATAGAGGTATTTACCATAATCAACGTTTATGAAATATCAGGGATATTAATTCTCTACCTCAAAACAACAAAAAGTCTTGGTAATTACTCTTGATCATGATTTATTTTGAACAAACCGGGCACAAAATGGTAAAGATCTATATTTGAGGGTTACAATGTAGGTAGTATTTGTCAGAAAACTAACGTTAATAGGAAACTGTTTCGGTTTGGAATTTTTAAAATTTTAAATTTGAAGTCATCAAATGGTATCATGGAAAGAGCTGGACAGTTTCCGTTCGGAACATAGACAGTGTTATGTTAAACTAGCATGACATGCATCATTTGTGCTCACCATATGTACTGATTTGAGGTCAGTAGGCGCAGGTCTATGGTGGTGATTTAGTAGTTCTGACAATGGAGGACAGTTTTGTCAGTTAACACTTGCCTGTTTATAAGATGTGATCATGATGTTGTATTGCTGACAGTAACACAGTCGATAAGCACAATCACAAGTTTAAAAGAGGATATGATGGAGTTGTTGTAACAGTTTGTATCATTCGACAGTTTCATGTGTATAAAAAATGAGGATGATATTTTTAAGTCTGTTTCGTTGTTCATGCATAAGAGATAAAAGTGAGGAACGCATTCTTGTCATTGTTTATTTGAGGATGAGTGTGTACTGACCATAGTTAATTGTTCTGTCTTCCATATTTGACATACATGTGTATTTATCTCTGAAGGTTTATGTTCATCCAATTATTGAAAAAAAACATCTGTAACTGTGATGGGGAGAAAATGTTTTTCTATAAAAGTCAAGTATTTTTCGAGCAGACGATATATCTAAATTACATGTTAATATGGTAGAAATATGCATCATACATGCCGATCGACTTTCTGACAATTCTTGTTCTAACTCAATAAAGTTATATTTATACCTCCGTACTTTATCAGCCGCAGTTGCGTGAGCGAAAGGATATAATAATCCATGTACAAATAATTAATTAATTTTTACCCTTTTCACGACATTTTCTCATTTAAACAAGCTTGATCTGGGCGTCGATGCTGTACGCTGATAAAACACATGAAATCCCCTTTGCTTGAGGAATTATATTTTTTTATCTAGAAGTATCTGTTCCATTATGACACTATTTTAGTTTTAGTATTTTACTAGAAGTAACTTTTATAAAATGATGTTCTTTTTTATCTATCTGTTACTGTACATTGCTATTTCCATATAGAAGTATCAGCTACAGTAGCAAGATGTGTTTTCTTTTATCTAAATATCTAGAATAGTTTCCTTCTGTTTAATGATATTTTAATCTAAGATGTATTTGCGCTTATATCAAAATACGTTTATTTAAGAAATATCTGATAGAGATTTTTTTTTTTAAATCTACTTTTATTTATTTTTAAGCATCTGTAACATTGTATAGATATATTTATTCAAAAGTTTATGGAACAGTGTAGAGATATGTTATATAAGACGTGTCTGCTACAGAGTACAGATATTTTATTACGAAATACTTTCTTTATCTGCTATAATTAATACGTATTTTAACCAGAACTATTTGCTTCAGTGTATTTTTTTATCTAATATTAATTCTACAGTGTGAATATAGTTATTAAATGTATCGTGTATATATTATATCGTTTCTCAGGTGACATGGTACAACTGTTTCAATTTATTGTATACTGCTAGAATCTTGATTGATCGGCTTTAATTACAATTTGTTTTCATTATTTAGACAATATTTGCAATGGCAAAATTTAAAAAGACTTTACATTGTAATATATCAGTGCATCCTTGCCAAAATCTCGTACAATTTGTTATTCTACAGACTGTTATTGTATATTAACTCATTTCTCATTAACACGTCAAAGTAGCAGAGGTGGGTCTAACTTAGCAACATTTGAACATAATGTCAGTTATGGTCTTAATATTATAACTTGTGTTTTTATATTTCGCTTTCGCTGTATTTCTAAATATGTTTCTGACACTAAAAGGCGCTGATATTTATTGTTTTGACCTTCAGTACCGCCATTAATAGTGGCTTTATGGCGTAGTGATTGTTTTGACCTAAGTACCGCCAGTAATAATGGCTATATGGCGTAGTAACTGTTACCTTACAGCATGATGGACAGAGACGGCTTACTACCAAGCTATATTATAAGTGTTACTATTTTGATTGTGCAGTTTCCCCTGCGTCGCCACTTAAGTTGTATTTATGTTGCAGTTAAGCCGATATTCACATTCCGAACGCCATGATTTCATTGTGAAATGTATTTTTTTCTCGTGCAATTTTTATATTTAGTTTTTACAATGCTTGTTTGTGTGTTTTGTTTTATTATTATCTTGATTATCCTATTGAGAGAAAGATATTACCTTGATTGGAAAGAGTTCTGTATAATGAGTGCCATTAATGGGGCAGAAGACGCTGTACTTTCCGGAACATCTGGTCTTATTCTCATACTACTTTTAATGGGCTTTGATGTGAATCTTTCCTTCTTTTTTAACCCTAGTTTAAATGATTTTGAGTTAAAATTACGGTTTGTTGACGAATCGATCCTGAAAATCATTCTATTATTCATATTCATAATCCTGCGATATATATTCGAAAGTTTGTTATGCATATCATGCAAACTTGAAACATAGATACTCTGGCATAACCGTAGTAACTGTGGTAGGGTATAGGGATAAGGACGCTACTTTACATCCCCTCGGACTCAGACTAGGCCGATTGATAAATCTAAGCGATCATAAATCTTCTTCTTGTTTTATACTTGACTCTGAGATGATAACCAAATTTCTGATGTGAAATTAGGAATTAAAAAATAAGCGTTACATCTTGTGTGATACAAACCATGTTGAATAAATTCACAACCATTTGAATAAACATAAACGCGTAAAAAAACAAAACACAAGACTGATTATATACAAATTACAAGATTTAAAAAAATATAAATACTTGAACTTTAAGTATCAATATTAAGATTTCATAAAAAGATAAATATATCACATTTAAATATTTATAAAAAGTCAAAAATATTCTCCAAAGCTTTTGCAATACAAATAACAAGATTTCGTTACAGCTAAAACAATACAAACAACACTATGTTGCAAATGAATAGAAACAAAAACGACAAAACAACCCACCAACAACAAAACAACAACATATCAATCATGTCAAAATGTTGCTCTATTTGTCACATGGTGTTTTATTTATTAAACATGTTTATTATTGCATTTCTACAAATATTATCACTGTTGAATGTTTCATGTAGAATATTAAAACAAAAGGATATGATTTGTTTACTTCAATGTTGAATAAGAATTAATTGTCATCATAACGTCTAATATAGAAATAAGTTTTACTTTATATACTGATAATATTTAATATGAATTGAATGTGAACAAAATGTGACTGTCAAAATGAGATGATTTACTAAACATTTGTAAATATGTCATATTAGATGTATGTAGGCACACATGTAAGAGTTGATCATGACTGTGTTGTTACTCTCCAACCCTCAAACGAGTTGATTTAACGTTAAGTGTTACGTGTTACAACAGAGCACTGGTTTACTGACAAGACTATTGGCAGCGCAGCCTTAGGTTATAGAATGATAAGTGTTTGTGATTGTGAACATCTAAATACGTACAATGTACATTGATATACATGTTAACATGTTTATTGTAATAAAGACGTAAAGACATAAAGTATATTCCGGGTTTTATATCCTATTTCTTTATTTCAGCATATTACTGTTACTTGTAGGATACAAATCTTATACACGTGCATATGAAGTGAATCTGTGCAACGAAGGTGACGACCCGATGACCTTCATGTAGGGAACTACATTTTGACATGGGAATGCACACACTGTTAATTACATGGAAGTCATCACTCGAATTTTGAATAGAACGATGATATACCACAGTCCAAACATTAAAAAAATAAACTTGAAATAGCTCGGACATCATTATCGGAGTCGAAGTGTTTTGTTGTAAATGCAGAAATGCAAACTAACATATTTACTAGATCATGTGTCCTCATTCTCGGTAATAACAGATGCTGTTCCACTCGTCTTCTTGATAGAGATGAAGGTTTTTCAAAATGTACTCCGTTTCAGGAGTCGACTGAAATGAAAACATCAGAGATTCAAAGCCTTTTGAAATTGCTACAACATGTTGCACACAAGAAAGGATGGACTTCGAGTCTTCTGACGGACTGATATGATGACTACCATCCGACAGGTATTACTTTTTGGGCCAAATATAGCAAAGGTATCAAATGTTCATCAATTAGGGCCGTAAGTGACTGAGTATGGTTCCATTACTTATGCGTGTGATTTTCGTTATATACTATTCATTATTCCATGAATAGCATATATTGAGATAATAAGTTAGAATGATATCTTTATGATTGCATTATTTTGTTTTTACTAGACCACATATATAGATATAAAAATATGGGACCATTTTGTAGAACATTGTATATACACAAGTAAACAGTGGAACGGTGGTGTGTTGACAATTGTACTAGAGTATGACGCTACTGTCAAAAGACACACATTCTTAAGAATCCTTTCACGTTTTAACAGTATCAAATAGAGAGCAACAGACCTTCAGCACACGATGACACAATTAGAGTTCAGACTTGTTAACAAAAACAATAAAAAACAATAAAACACTAACCAAGCGGACGCCATAGTACCACAAATGACATTACGAACCCACATAGAGTCCTGAATCAGGTGATCCGGAACGTTTGAGTATAGTATGAATCACAAACACGCTTGGTCGATTATTTCTATCC